ACTGAAGATAAAAGCAGAGATCAGAGTGTTAACATCTACAAGCCAAGGAAACCAAAGGCCACCAGAAGTTAGAAGGCATAGGACAGAGTGTCCCTCACAGCCTTGAGAAGGAACTAATAACTCTGTCAACACCTTGATCCTGGACTTCTGGCTTCCAGAGCTGTGAGACAAGAAATTTATTTTTGATTTTATTTCAAGATTTTATTTATTTGAGAGAGAGAGAGAGAGAGTATGAGCAGTGGGAGGGGAAGAGGGAGAACCAGATTCCCGGCTGGGCAGGGAGCCTGATGTGGGGCTCGATCCCAAGACCCTGTGATCATGACCTGAGCTGAAGGCAGACGCTTAACGACTGAGCCACCCAGGCGCCCAAAGTTTTGTTGTTTAAACCACCTAGCTTGTGGTATTCAGTCATGGCAGCCCTAGCAAACTCATGTGGTACCCTAGATAATTAAACAATATATCAGACAGGAGGAAGAGAATCAACATGGTCCTGAACTGGTTTTCTGTGAGTAGTTGTGTCAAACAAGGATGGCTATACGTGTTCTCCAGGAAACCTGGCAAAGCACAGGCTGCTGACATCTGAGAAGAATGAGATGTTGGCACTCACAGACATTCCGAGCCAAAAGAGAAGGTGGTCGAAGCTAAAATATCAGGTGTTCAGCTTTGTACTTGATAGATTCTCAGTTACTTGGTTAATTGCTTGTTTTGTTCATTTGTTTGTGTGCTTTTATCAGGCACAGAAAGGGCATGTCTGCTTTGGGAGCTCCATCCACACCCCATCAAATACATTAAAAAGATATTACTAGTCTTGAGGGAATATAATTTATTTCTCTAAAAACCATCTGAAAAGCCTTTTCTTCTTTTGCTTTAGAAGTAATTTCAGAAGGGGGCAACTTATTTAATAAGAGTGCTCTGGTTTCTCAGCAATCATTATGCATAGTCTGGTATTCCAGAAAAGTGACAAAAGCTGCTCTATAAATTGTTTCCAAACATAATACATTTTTTATGAATACTAAGGGCTGTCATATTGTTATATTTTGTAGACATTTGAGATGCATAAGGCAGAGTGTTGATAGTAAAAGCTCTGCTGCCTGCATTAAAATCCTGACTCCACTGCTTTAAGGACAAGCCTCTAAACATCTCCATGGCTCAGTTTCTTTACCTGTAAAATGTGGTTAATAAGGCTGTCACGAGGTATTGTGTTAATATAATGTGTATAAACGTGTTTAATACACATACTAAAACGCCAGTAAGTATCTGCCATTCAAATGTAAATAATTATTGATTTCTGATTTTGCTGTGGCCTTTGTTTTTATGGAAACCATACATTAACCTTTTCTTTAATTAGGTCTCATTTTTGTAGACCCTTGACTCAAGCCTCGTGCTTACAGTGCTCCATTCATAAAATGCCCTTGAACTCAGGGCGTGGGTCTAGATGACAATGCGGAGGGGCACAGATCAGTTCTGTGAGGGCATCTGGGTGCCACCGACTGGACAAGGCTTGCAAAATCACAGTAGCATATAAGAGAGACACTTGTCTTCTTGCTTGAGAATGAAGTTACCATTTAGTGAACACTCACTATTTGCCCGGCACCAGGCAAGGGGCTTCTGTGGATTATCTTCAAGCCTTACACTAACCCTGTCTTTATAAGTGGGAAGAGGCTGAAGGGGGTTTAACACTAGCTCAAGACCATATAATTAGGGTTGCCAGGGCTAGAGAACCTAGGAAAATTACTCTTCCACTAAATCCATTTGCCTAACTGCCAGGAGTAATGGGAATTCATGAACAATGTCAGCCTCATGGAGGTATCATAGATGTTCAATGAGGCAAACTCTATAGTGTGAAAAGCACTGAACAGATGATAGATCACACTGTTATTTCAATCTATTTACTCTACCAGGAAATGACTGTTTCTATAGCTTACTACATCCCAGGCATTGTTCTAGTAAGATGTTTGGAACTATTAACTCATTTCAGCCTCATAACTTCTCTGGAGTCTAAGTACTGCTGTTTTTCCTGTTTCATAGATGGAGAAAATAAGCCACAGAAAACTAAAAGGAATCACAGAGATTAAAGTCACACATCTAATAAGCGTCAGAGCCAGGGCCTCATGCCCCAGAGACCATGCACGTTCTTCACCACTAGACTGGCTGGCTCTCACAAGGCAGGTCACCAAAGTGGTATATCTAATAAAAATGGGGGGGGGGGGCACAGAAACTTGGATACTCTGTCTTTGTTTACGACAAATCCAGTCTCCCTTCTTTACCCTCTGTGCCCAGAAAGTAGGTTAGGTGAAAACGGTAAGATTCTTGGTGAAATCTGAGATTGGGGGTAGGAGTCATGTTCAGGGCATGAGCTTAGAGAGGGAGGGGCTGGTCACAGGGGCAGAAAGGCCCCCAGCTCTTGCTAGGTCCTCCCTGTCCCTGCTGGGTCGGGGAGGAATGTGCCAGCCTGGCACAGCTGAGCTCACTCTTCTCTCATTGCTTGGGTTGGCAGAAGTGTCTTGACAGGGAAGGGAAGTCAGCCTAGGGAGGATGGCGCTGCAGGAGCCTCAAAGTTCTTAGATCTTTTGGAGCAGTTACCTCCTAGCTTCTGACATCCAGGGTGCCCCAACCAGCCTAGTGCAGACCAAACGATGAGGTATCCTGGGAGCACTACCCGGCATCCATTAATGTCAATCTCAAGACAAGCTCCAGACCGTGAATATTACGATGGCAAGAAGACAGCACTATAACAACTCTCTTAAAAATGTCTCTGGGCCTAGTTAGAATGTCAAAGACATTTCCTCATATCCCAGCAAAGCTCATTAGAGGGCTAACATGTACAGACATTAGCAAGATAGCAGAGGAAAGAAAGGAAGACCCACTGGATGAATATTTTGTTGCTGATTTAGCTAAAAGCACCTGTCATGACAACATCCCCTAAATGAAGGCCAGGGCTCAGCCTTTTTGCTCAACTCCATCAAGGGGAAGCTAGAAACTGAATTCCGTGTCTGCTCACAATACACTATGCAATGGCCTGCATTTGGAACAACAGACACGAGTGCTTGTCGCATCGTGCCAACTTTTTGGTCCCTTGTTTTCCAGTTAAGGCACATCATTTTCTTCTCCATAAACACGAGCACAATAAAAACTTCTCAGCCAAATATGTAATTGTAATCCTTTAAAAAAGCATGAAGAATCTGGCAATTAGTAAATTCTACTCGACCAGAATTATGGGCTGCTTCAGATGCAGCCAAAACATCCCTGGTAAACAGATGTAATGGACCAGTCACAATACCTCGTTCAGCCTTATTTGGACAACACTGTAATTTATGGCAATCTAGGCTGGCCCCGGGCTACCCCGTCCCCTCCCAGGATCAGCCCCATTGCCATATGGACACAGATTAGTTTGCAGGTATGTATCCTTTGCATGTATTTGTCTTTCTTTCTTTCTTTCTTTCTTTCTTTCTTTCTTTCTTTCTTTCTTTCTTTCTTTCTTTCTTTTTCTTTCTTTCTTCTTCTTCTTCTTCTTCTTTCTTTCTTTCTTTCTTTCCTTTCTTTTTTTTCTTTCTTTTCTTCCTATCTTTCCCTTTTGATAGAAAGTTCTTACAACACAGGAACCATTTCCTTTTTATTCTCACCTTGATGCCCAAGAGAGCATTCTGCACAGATTTAGAAGCTAAATAAACCTAAACTGTGACGATGAACTAATGAAATAAAGTTCTGGAAATAATGTTATCACAATGGCTGTATTCAAATGAGTGCTTTCAGATAGTCAGCTTCAGAGATGGCACCTTTGCTTATATAAGTTTCCAAATTCTTCTTTAGATAATACTTCAGAGCAGCCTGGGTGGCTCAGCGGTTTAGCGCCGCCTTCAGCCCAGGGCCTGATCCTGGAGACCCGGGATTGAGTCCCATGTCGGGCTCCCTGCATGGAGCCTGCTTCTTCCTCTGCCTGTGTCTCTGCCTCTCTCTCTCTCTCTCTCTGTCTCTCATGAATAAATAAATAAAATCTTAAAAAAAATACTTCGGCGTTCCTGTATTAGTACAGATACTACTTACTACACTCCCCTGAGTCAAATATTTTCCATTTGTCTGAAGGTGAGTCCTAAGAGGAGTTTCTATGACATTCTGGTCACTGGTACCATTATTAACAAAAAGCCCAGGGCTTTCCAAGGAAGCTCAGAAGAAGTCAGCTTTCATCCATGAAGTCAGGACTGCTGGTTTAAAAACTCATTTATTTTTTTTGTCATTCCTTAGGTCATTGAACTGCAATGTGTGCAGGAAAGCAGAGCAAGACCCCTGAAGACTCTAGGACACTTGGAGAAAAAAGGGTTCCACTTCCGCTACAGACTCTGGAAGCACAAGGCATGACAGTACCAGGTTCCATGGTGACCTAGAGAAAAGTGAAGCCTGGGAGTTTTTTGGAACCTCTACCCACTGATTTCTAATTATATTCTGAGAATTTGATTGGATTCATTTTGGGAAAATGCAACAACACTTATTTAAATTTATGTGGCTAATAATAGTAGATGTTTGAAACCTTGGTCAGGTCCAGCCTTGACCCATGCTGAATAGAGAGACGATTTGAGGGGCTTCTGCAAGTCTCAAGTTTACTGCCTCTCATTCTACCATTAAAGCAACATTCCTCCAGTTTTAGTTAGCTGCAGTAGTTCTAGTGAAACATAAATGAAGTGTTTAATAAACTAGCTCTTGGGGTGGGTGGAAGAGTCCTGATTTGCTACCAATGGTTTAACGATGGGACAGCAAAAATCCTGACAATGTACCAATTAGCTGTTGTGAGCCTGTGCAAATGGGATCCCTGGCAGGTATTTGACTACTGGACAAGTGAGAAGAAAATCCTGTAAGAACAGAAAATAAGCAAGATAGGATACAAGGCAGTGGGAAATGCAGGAAACAGGCCAGAGGTGTTAGACACTGGCCACTGTGCCATTTTCTCTAGAGTCGCTCTGGATTGGTTAATGAAGGGGCAGGGGTGGGGAAGTGATGAAGCTCACCTCACTCCAGTTGCCCACGGTCCAGTCTGAAGGACACAAGATGTCTCTGTTGCAGGAAATGAGGGTCTTGGGCTTCAGCAGGTGCTGGCAGTCTTTAGATGGGAGGGCCTGCTCATCAGAGCCCATGGTCTGGATGCATAGCACTGTTCGCTTCTTCTCTCCATGGGGCCCACACGATGCTGAGCATGCTTCCCACTCCCCTGCCCACCACCTGCAGACACACATGGACATGAGGGAGAAGAGCAGCACAAGTATACATATATATACATTCAGTTTAGCCACTGGAAAAAAAACCAGGTGCAGGGGTGCAGGTACAGAGCTGGGTGGCCCTTGGAGATACTCCAGCCTGCTGGCATAGACAGGGCCACAGCAGGCCTGTGCAATCACGGCTTGAGTCCAGCACCCAGCATAAGGAGATGCCCTAGATGCCCTCTCCCTTTAGAGTCAAGAAAATAGATGTCTAGTTTTCTATTCTACAAAATCAAGCACACTTAAGCCTTATTTTCCTCATCTGTTAAATGGATATCACAATCCTGACCTTACATGAGTGTTGTAGATTAAACAAAATACCAATTTATATGTAGTGCAGAGTACAGAGCCTGACGCATAATAAGAATTTGATCACTTGTAATTATTTGTTATTATTTTGACTGTTGCTATACCGAGTAAGAGAATCTAATAGAATCTAGGTCCCCTGGCTCCTACCTGAATGTTTTTCTGTTCTACTGTGAGGCGGGTACTGAAGCAATTGCTGATTTTCAATTATCTAGGAGATGGTCAATCAGAGGCATTGCCTTCATTCTCCTCATCTCCTTCAGTCTACCTATTACTAGTTTCACTGGTCCCTTTGATAAGAAAGCAGAAGGAGAAACAAAATAATTTCTTACTTGTCACCTATTCTTGACAAGTCAAAGCATTGAAACTGTTTGCTAAGTGAATACTCTGAATTCACTGTGGCAAAACAGGATGTGAACTCTTCCTCTACACCATTATCATGGACGATTTACTCCAGATTTTGGAGGCAGACCCCATGGCTACACAGAAAGAGCTTTTCAAAGTAGGAGGGAGCCCTCTCTTCTTTCCCTTCTCCATCACTGTGTAGATCTTGCCCAGCACAAAAGAGAGAACAAGTATCTTGATCCAGTGTGGTTTGGGTTCACCATTGTTGGCAAGTACAGCCCACTTCTTCGGCTCTCCATGCAGTAATAACATGGAATGCTTCTATTTTTCATGGGAAAATAGTATAGCGTGTGAAGTTGTTAGTTCCTGAATTGAAGGAAGACTTCTAACCTTGAGATAGCATGGAATTTTGAAGAATTTTTGTACTATGATTTATATTTAGTAAGTATTGTATTTATTTGGGCAAAACTTCTTTTGATTCTCATGCCTTTAATCTCAGGTTAAAAATATTTGAAGAAAGCTACTCCTTGATTCTATTATATTCTTTAATAAGTTATTTTTAAGTTATTCAGATTACTTATTTATTCTTTAGTGTTTAACATCTATAATTAAGTTATTAAAACTATTTATTCATTTATTTATTAAGTAATAATAATAAATAAGGTTATTCCCTTATTCCTTAGTGTTTATCATCTGCCTGTCTTGTGTGGATAAAGAGCTAATATTGGAACCACATGATGTGAAAACAACTGAACACCCACTTCAGTAATTATTAATCTACTTTACCCTACTTTTGACATGTCCAGGGGAAGTCAGACATGTTACTGAATATATGAGATGTCATTTTGGAAGGGCTTTAATAATCTGAGTGGACCGGAAGTATAATTTATTGAATTACTTGCTACACGGCTTTCAGCTGTGTCACCACAAAGTGATAATGAACCTCCCTATTTTCTCTTTTTCTGGAATCTCCTCCATAGTCCCCTGGGACCTTTTTGCATCTGTTTGTCACTAAAGTAAAAACAGTCTTTTTTTTTTTTAAATCTCCATGCGGAGATCTCCAGGCCCGGGGCTCAGGAGCTATTGTCAAGTTGTTTTCTGTTCTCTCTTTCATTTTTTGATGTCTGCCATATGCCACCTTTCTAGGAGATGTATAATAGAGTACTATTTTTATATTTATAAGAGATTTGTGGCAGAAGGCTGTTGAAATGCTCTGAGGGATTGGTGAGAAGGGCAATGTAATGCAAAGAACTCAGCAGGACAAGAGCCCAGCCCATTTTGTCACCCCAACAAGACAACCTCCCTGGCCTAATCAGCACAGAATTAACAACAACCTACCCTGATTGATTCTGTTTTTGCCACTGATCTTTATCTTACCAGAATGCTGATGACACCACACAACTGGATAACTGGTCGTGCACTGCCTTTACAGTTCTTTAGTCCCCTTCCAGGAATCAATTTCACCATCCCAACTACAGTGTAAAAGTCCTGGGGGCATGGGGGGGGCACCTGGGTGGCTCAGTTGGTTAAGTGTCTGATTTCAGCTCAGGTGGTGATCTCTCTGGGTCCTTGGATAGAGCCCCATGTTGGGCTCCCTGCTTAGCGGGCAGTCTGCTTCTGCATTTCCCTCTGCCCCTGCCCCTTGCTCTCTCTCTCTCTCTCTCTCTCTCACATAAATAAATAAAATCTTTAAAATAAAGTCCTCCGGACTGGGGCTCTATCAGTGATTCTCACTATAACAACACAGTGGGAGGCTTTAAAAAGCAAAAAATGCTACCAAATGACAACAATTTAAAGAGATCCATTCAACTGCTTACGCTTCCCTCTTCTTAAGTGTAATCTTCAAATTGTTTGCAGGGAATTGTACGAAATGATGTTTTCCAGGATAATAGCAGAAGTTGAGGAATAGAATGGGCTGTCTTCCTCCTCGGAAGCATGACGATGTGGAATAGCAGAAGTGGCAGCTGCAAAACTGCTCATCAGCTCTCGGCCAGAACCTGGGCACTGGGTGGCACATGTGTGCTGGCTGGGACAGCGCCGTGGGTGCCCGGTGCCCAGCTCCTGCCCGCGGCCGCAGCACTTCCTTCCTAAGTGCCAGGGCTTCATTACTGACTGTGGGGCAGGGGGTTGAGGAATTGGTCCATTTCAAAATTTTGCTCTGAATCAACAAGCTGCATCTCATGTACCCAACTAAGAAGTCTTCCGGGGGGGAAGAGGTAATACTTACCTTGTTCTGACAACGCTGCTTTTAGAACTAAGGGATGAAGAGATGTCAACCACAAAGCCCCGAGGAAGGAGGGCAGGACCCTAGGGACCATGGCCAGGAGGCAGGGCTTTGGGATCCAGCTGCCTGGCTGCTGGTCTAGCCCTGACAACAGCTTGCCTTGCCAATGAATATGCATCTGATAGAGGCTAGCAGGTTGCAAGCTTCCTTAGGAAGTGACCTTATTTGTGCTATTCCAAAAAAATCCTTTGTCATTCCAAGAAGTCCCAATCACGTGGTTTTCCAAGCTCTGGAGCTTCTGTAACTTCGCTGGGGGGATCTCCTGTGCTCTTTTGCTTGCATTAAGTTGCCTGCATTAGTTTCCTATGGCTGCTATGATAAACTACCACAAACTTGGTAGCTTAAAACAACAAAAAATCTGATTTCTTATAGTTCTAAATTCAGTAGTACTGGGATGAAATCAAGGTGTCAGCAGGGCTATGCTCCTTCCAGAGGCTCTATGGAAGATCTGTTCTTTGCCTTTTTTTCAGTTTGTGGTGGCTGCCAGCATCCCTTGGCCTCCAGTCGTTAAGGCTAGTGTCTTCCCATCTGTCTGTTCTGTCTTCATATCATCCTCCGTGTCTGTGTGTGTGTGCGCACGTGACTACTGTGTAAAATTTCCCTCTACCTCTCTCTTAGAAGAACCCTTGCAATGACATTTGGGACTCAAGTGGATACTTGTTCAAGACCCTTTAATTTAATAACATCGGCAAAGATCCTTTTTCCAAATGGGGTAACATTTGCAGGCTCTAGAGATCCGGATGTAGATGGCCGTCTAGCCTATCCCATGACCGCACTGAGGGCAGGTTCAAGTCCTCACAGCTCAGCTTGTATCACATAAGAATTCCTTTATGAAGGCTCCTCTTCTGTGTCCCCCTCAGCTCAGCTCCTCTGGAAGGGACTTCAGCCTCTGGACTCTTGCCCAAATATCCTTCTCCCTCTCCCACCAGTAGTATCCTACTGTAAAGTTACCTCCAACTAGAAATTTCTAATGGTTGGAGTGTGGACACAGGTAAGATAACCACCCTCATGGAAAGTGAATTCTGAAAAGAGTGAGGCCAAGTGATCAGCTACAGGTAAATGAGAAAATGTCAGCAATAGATTGATGTCTGTTCTAAAACCAGAGCTGATACCAGAATCTTTTTGGACTATGTTGCTTTTTATGTACATAGCCCATGTCCCCAGAGCCCTACCTTGGCTTCAGCAGGTGAGTGTCTGCATCAAGATCCTTTGGAGCCCACCACACCTAGCACAGTACTTGCTTTGCTTTAGACACAGCCTAGATAGGGGAGAGGTGCTTGTCTTTCTTGGGGGGTATGTAATGGCGACCACAGGCTATAGCCAGACAGCCTGGGTTCAAACCTCTGTCGTCTACTAGTTGCATGATGCTGAGTGAGGTAAGGAATATTTTTTCCTCTATAAAATTGGTACAATTATAGTTATTTTTCTGAGTAGTCGAGAATAATAAAGAGAATATATAAGATATCTCTAAAACAGCATCAGAAGTGAGGTAGGTGCTTAAAAACCCCAGTTTTCCAGATGCCTGGGTGGCTCAGTTGGTTAAGTGTCCAACTCTTGATTTGGCTTAGGTCATGATCTCAGGGTTGTGAGATCAAGCCCTGAGTCAGGCTCTGCACTCCATGTGGAGTCTGCTTGACATTGTCTCTCTCCCTCTGCCTCTCCCCTGCTCATTCTCTCTCTCTCTCTCTGTCTCTCTCTGTCTCTATTTCTCTCTCTTTCTCTCAAAAAAAAAACAAAAAACCAAAAAAAAAAAACCAAAAAAACCGACCGTTATTTTCTATTCTACTTTCCCATTACTTATGTTTCAACAAATGTGTGGGTTTTCCGCACCAAGCAATTCTGATCCTAACTGTCTGGGGATAGCGTAGACTGGACAGGTTAAGGGCTCAGTCCCACATCACCACCCCCACCCCCTGCTCTTCATGTCCAGGTGGTGGTCACCTGTGCTTCTCACCAGCTGGCTACGAATCAGGGGTTCCCACATCCCTGCCAAGGGTTTGATAATTTGCTAGCATGGCTCACAGAACTAAAAAAAAACTTATTTACTAGATTACTCATTTATTATAAAAGGATATAACTCAGGAACAGTCAGATGGATGAGACTCACAGGGAGGGGTCCAGGAGAACGGTGGCAGAGCTTCTATACCCTCTTGGGGCACACCACCCTCCCAGCACCTCCATGCTTTCAGCTCCAAGAATCTCTCCTTCCCCTCTAGCTAGACTTTGTTTTTGTCTTTTTAATGGGGGTTTCGTTACATAGGCAGGACTGATTACATCATGGGCCATTCGTGACTAACTCAACCTTCAGCCCCTCTGCCCTCCCCAGACTTAAGGGAGTAGAGCTGAAAATTCAAACCCTCCAGTCACAGCATCCTCTGTCAGCCAGCTCCATCCTGAGACTGTCTGGGAGCCCTGGCCACTTCGTTAGCATACAAGACAGTCCCTTTGGTGGTTCTAGAAGTTTTAAGAGCTCTGTGAGGAACCAGGCACAGAGATGGCATATATAGCCTCTATTGTGTCACGATACCTCAGTGTTCAGTAAATGGTAACTGTTATATGGCTATAATCACCATTGTGCCTCTCGTGAGAAATAACAGAAGCTTAATAAATATTTGCTGGCAATAGTAAGGTGGAGGGAGACTATGTAATAAGATGAAATGAGAACCTGAACACCAGGGACAAAATTAGAGGCAGGAAATAATCAGCCGTGGTTTTAAGAGGACATCTAACCCACAGAGAGAGTGGCTTTGAAAAGCAAGGTGAGAATCCCAGGCTTGTGTGTCCCAGGAGAGCAACAGGTATGTACTGGTAGAAGATCATTAACCCTGAGGGAGACCGAGTGTGAGGAAGCATGTGAGCACAGCAGAGCATGGGTGAGTGATTAGCCCCAAGAACCCTGCCTCCTTCCTGGCTCACTCTTCCCAGAGAAGAAATTATGGGAAGGACAGCTACAGACAAAACCTAGGGCTGGCAAGAGCTGCAGGGAAGAGCTGTAGCCAGGTGAGGTGACCATGGAGAGGTGAGGCAGGTCAGGGTCTGGCTCCCCGCCTCCTGGCCTGTCCCCCCACCCTCCCCCGCCACCAGCAGAAACCACAGAGCTGGACACAGAATAATCCTTCTGACTCCGGCCTCTGCGTCCTGCCTGTCTGCCCTCACCAGAGGCCCTCGTTGCCTGCCTTCACTGATTTGTCTGGACTCTTTACCTAGTTCTTTGAGATTTATCATATTCTTCTGGCTTTTTCTTTAGAGCTCAGTTCGTCACTTATTTTTTTTAACTGATTAATTTTTTTAGAGAGAGAGAGCATGCATGAAAGTAGGGGGGAGGGGCAGAGGGAGAGATGGAAAGAGAGAGAGAATCTCAAGCAAGCTCCATGCTGGGGAGAGCCCAATGCAGAGCTTCATCTCGCCACCCTGAGATCATGACCTGAGCTGAAATCTAGAGTTGGACACTTAACTGAATGAGTCATCCAGGGGTACCACTTGTTTGATTTACGATACCAATGAGTCCCCTCCTGTTTACCTAAACTCCTTTTAGTGTGTCTCCCTAGGCCTGGAATGAATGCCTGATGGAAGCCACAACCTAAGCGCACCCCTGCTGAAGGTCACTAGAGAATGAAGACACTCTTCAGAATTAATTCTTTTTTTCTCCCTTCCCTTTTCCTTCCCTCTCTCTCTTTCCCTCCCCTCTCTCTTCCTCTCTCCCTCCTTCAGCTCCTTGCTGTTTTTCTTTCTCTCCCTCTCTCTTTAACATAAGTCCCTAATAATAACATTCTAGCCACCTTCTGGGATTCCAATATCTATCTAGAACAGCAAATGAGTAGCTCTGTAACACTGTTCTCAACCAAGGGTGCTTTTACCCTCTACGAGACATTTTGAAGATATGTTTGAATGTTTGCAGATATTTTTGTTGTGACAACCTGGAGGAAGGGTGGAAGTCGCTACTAATGTCTAAGCAGGTACAGGCTGGGGGTGTCGCTAAACATCCTACCACACACAGGACAGCTCCACAACCAAGAGTCATCCATCCCAAATGTCAACAATGCTGAGATTGAGAAAGCCTGCTCTGGAAGGCCACTCCAGGCTGCCTTACATGCAGATGGGCACTGTGATCTGACAGTGAATGCTATGCTGCCCTGGCACAGTGTCCCCAGGCTGGCCCTGACAGCCACACCTCAAGAACTTTGGGGGGGGGATCTATATAGCATTCTCTTCTATATAGCATTCTCTTCAGCAATGCTTTGAGACAGTCTTACCAAATAAACACAGAACACACCAGCTTTGTGAGAAATACTACTCTATGGGGAGAAGATGTCCCTACTCACAGCTTGTCACAGGCTCTAACAGCACAGCCACAGAAACCTGTAAGAGTTTTCCTGTACTTATTCTTTTTTTTTTTAAATATTTATTTATTTATTTATTCAGGAGGAGAGAGAAGCAGGATCCATGCCAGGAGCCCGACGTGGGATTCGATCCCAGGACTCCAGGGCCAAAGGCAGGCACTAAACCGCTGAGCCACCCAGGGATCCCCTCCTGTATTTATTCTAATAACAAAGCCTCACAACCCTCCTTTATCACTGAGCATTAGATTACTATTAAATTAGTCTTTTCTTTTTCTTTCTTTTTCTCTTTTTTTCTTTCTTTTTTCTTTCTTTCTTTCTTTCTTTCTTTCTTTCTTTCTTTCTTTCTTTCTTTCTTTCTTAGAGAGAGGGAAAGCACAAACAGGGAGAGCCAAAGGAGAGGGAAAGAGAGAATCTCAAGCAGGCTCCATGCCCAGGGCAGAGCCCAATACTGGGCTTGATCCCATGACCCTGAGATCATGATCTGAGCCAAAATCAAGAGTTGAGTACTCAACCAACTGAGCCACCCAGGTGCCCCAATCAGACATCATTCTAAGCAGACACACAGAGCTCTAATTCTTATCACTTCTTACCTGGGTGGACAATCCTTTTCATGGCACTTCTTCTGTCTCCCGTTGGGCTGTGTTTCTGGGTCACAAAAGGTAGCTTTCACCATCCCGTGGCCTTTCTTCACACAATGGGCAGTCTGGCGGCGAATACCTGGGGGTCAGGCAGAGGGTTCACATATATTAAATCCTGAGCCTACACGCTTATTGTCAAGTGAGGCCCCTGGTCAAGTGATCATGCTTATGGCTGATGGGGAGGCTGTCCATAGGTTATCTGGTTTGTTCCAGGGGCAAACCAAGTACATCTGTAAGCTGGATTTAGCTTTGGATAAATAATAATAATGAACACATGTAGTGCTTTCCTTGTCCCAAGCACTGTTCAAGACTGTATGTGTGCATGCCAACAAATATATATATATATATATATAATATATTATAAATATATTAAAAATGTATCACTTACTATCTATTTTGAAATATAATGACCCAAACCTCGCAACAATCCAATGAGGTCAACACTACCATTATTGCTATGTGAAAGATAAAGAAATAAAGGCACAGCGAAGTCACACAGGTGGAGAGAAGACAGGGACCACAGGTTCTGCTACCAAAGACATTAGCAAGAGAGGAGACAGGGTGGTCAGAATGTCATGGATGGAGAGGCAGAGGGATAGAGAGAAGGAAGTCACCATGTCGCTTGAGGGAGGTAATGCTTCAATGTTAGATGTGAAATACTGGGGACTGGGATGCCTCCCCTCCCGGGGACAGAGCATCAGCTTGCACAAAAGTTGGCGCCCTGAACCCTCAGGGCATCCAGGCCTTGAGAGGGCTTACTGGTGTACAGAATTCCCATATTCGAAAGTCTATGAGTACACCAAAAGCCGGTCACCTCCCCACTTCAGCACGTGGAGGGGCTTCCCCCCCGGCACACAGCTGGCAGGACAGGACTTGCCATCTGCCACCTCCCGCTGCCTCATGTGACTCGTTCCAGCCCCGGTGCCCAGGCTGGCTTTCATACTCACACACCAGCGATCACTTCTCAACATTTAAAAATGTCAGAGGGAGTTGTCATAGGGTAAGCGAATCCTTCAAAATGAAACAACAATATTTTATTGCTAAATAAAACAATATTTTCTTCTTTTGGAGAGATAGGTAACCTTTCAACCACTCAGGCTTTATCAACTGATAAGACTGTGTTATTCCTCTTTCGTTATATAAATCAGACACTGTCGACAGCTGGAAGCAACATTGTAAGAGGAACTTCCAGGGCCCAAGGACTGAGTCATTGGAAAAGACACAAGCACCTGTGGAGGCATCTTAGACAGTGTGAGTGGATTATAGGCTGACATGGCCGAAGCCAGAAACACTGGCATGTACCTGCCGTGGTAGAGCAGAGAAAAGAAGAGTTTAGGTACTTGGAAATTTCATGGAAACGCTGGCAAATTCTTCCTGTCAAAACCTAAAAGGAAACTGTCAGGTGACTCTCGGAGGTTAGAAACATCCCCCCAAAAGGCCTGTTTCTGTGCATGAATAGCAAAGATAAATGTGCTTACTCAGAAGTAGCAGAAGGACACAAAATATTACATAAAATACCTGTCGCAAAGTTAATACTATTGCATAGATAAATGTGCTGGATCAGCAGCGAGCTGAACAGATGGACTGGGCAGGCAAATGCTGTGCAAAAGGCAAAATTAATAATGATGTTTCAGTTTCTCTATTGGAATGAATGGTGTCTATCATTACATACTACTTGTAATTTATCTGATAAATACTATATATTTATGTGTATGGTAAACAACATAAACCTTATTCCTCAGCCTATGCTTAAATCCATCTCAGTAAATTTTCTATTATTTTCACGAAGTCCTAAATATTAACAAAAATCTTCCAGATATTGTCAGAGATCAATACCTTCACTTGGTTGACCCTGACAGTTACAGCGGTTGAAAGATGGATCAGTACCAAGACGAATGAAATTTTAAAATAGCCAAAGAAGTATCTGACTAATTTTCCAAAGAAGTGAATTGTCCTCTCAACATCAGTGTAGGGCCTCACATCCGGGTCAGAGTGGAACGTGTGTTCCTATTTGTGATTCTCATGCTTTACCACGAACATGTGGACCTATCTCAAATGCACATGGTTACTTTGAGCTTTGGAAATATTGAGGAAAGGTGTTCATTACAGCATTACAAAGATGTTTATAACTGCAAAATAGTGGAATGTATAAATAATTGTTTACTGGCACAGTGGAACAGTACGCAGCCCTTCAAGTGAATGTACTAGAGCTACTATCATTAGCAGGGATTTTTATTTTTCTTTTTTTAATAAATTTATTTTTTATTGGTGTTCAATTTGTCAACATACAGAATAACACCCAGTGCTCATCCCGTCAAGTGCCCACCTCAGTGCCCGCCACCCAGTCACCCCCACCCCCGGCCACCTCCCCTTCCACCACCCCTAGTTTGTTTCCCGGAGTTAGGAGTCTTTCATGTTCTGTCTCCCTTTCTGATATTTCCCACTTATTTTTTCTCCTTTCCCCTTTATTCAGCGGGGATTTTTCTCAAAAGCATAATACTGAGTAAAACCAGCAAGACAAAGAATAATGCACAGATAACGATCCTATTTATAAAAAGCCTAAATGCTTGAGAAACAATATTTTTAATATATATGGCTAGTCACATATATAATAAAAGCATTTAACAATATGCATGAAAACAATAAATACTAGTTTCATGACCCTAGTTAGCTCTGAAGAAAAATGAAAGGGAGTGGAGCCAGCAAAGTGCTCTTCAAGCATATTTGTGTGATTTTTTTTTTTTTTTTGTTTAAACATGAAGATTGAAATAAGCATGAGCGATGGTAAGATCTGACAAAGCTGAGTGGCTGGTATGCAAGAGTTTGTTGTTACGTTCTCCATTTTTGCTAGGACATTTGTAATGCTTCCCTGCAACAAAGCAAAAGGCTTAAACAATGTAATACCAATGAAAATAAAGCAAAACAATAAAGTGGTTGCCACTACTTGTTTGTAAATCTTTTACTATGGGAATCAATTTGGTAATAAGGTTCTGAACATTACCATAATATTTAAATTCTTTGAACCTAGAAATTCCATCTATAAATCAACGCTAATTAAATCATTCTTTACATGGTCCCCCAAAGCTCACCAGAAGATGATGATCAATGTAGAATTGGCTCAATTCTTTTGCTTTGTCTTGCCAAGGAAATGCAACACATCCATAAAAATGATAGCTATGAAGATGGAGTAGCACATGGAAAGGCACCCCTGTTACGACGTTAAGTGAAAGCTTGTGTATACATATAAGGATATTGGAAGGCAAAAAAAGCAAAGTACAAAAGTGCATGTGTCAGGGGAGTGACTTTTCCTATTTTTACTTTTCCGGTAAGCTATTTAACTTAATTTTGTAATATAGAAAGTTTTAACTCAAAGAAAATACGACATTGATGACTGATTCAGTGTTTCAGGCAGGCAGTCTTCTGTCTTTAGATTTAGCAACGTGTGTCCTATGGGAATATTAGCATTTCACCCTCTTTGTCTGACAGCACGAAAGGAGAAATGTTGTCTTTCTTCTCTGCCAGATGAAGACAGCTCACGGTCACTGAAACAAGCAGTGTGACTGGGATTCGGGGGAGAACGTGGACACCGTGACAGCTCCCTGACAGCTCCTGTTAAGGTTTAATACCCAGGAGGACATTTGCCCACACAGGCCGAGGTGCTGCTGAAGGATCCTGATTCACATTTGGTAAGGACAGCTCATTTCCTAGCCAGGAGGAGCCTGCTTTCTGATGACTGTGCCGATTGGCCATTTACCTTGTATCCCTGTGTTCTGAAACACTGCTTGTGTGATGCAAAGAATTCACCCCATGCTGAAACAGAAAAGGGGTGGATGGGTGTTCTGTTTTGTGGAGGGGCACCTGGCCCCTCTGGACTGGCTGAGTTTTCACTCCTTGGTGTCCTGAGACAAAAATGATTTACGCTTACAGCTTACACCTGTACTTTTCTGAAAGAAGAGAAAAATGGGGATGTGAGCTGGAAAATGTATTTGTGACTACGGTCCCCACGACCTCACTTTCCTCACAACTGCTCCTCAGGGAAATTTTTTTCATGAACTTCTTTCCTGCTTAAATTGCTTTTGTGCCACAGCTAGCCCAGCTTCCCAGGCAGTGGGGCAGGATGTCTGGAAATGCTAGCCACAGCCAGGAGGTAATAGCACTGACCCTAACCCCAACACTGATCCTAACCCCACCACCAGCCGCTGCCACACATCACACCTTTGACCCTAATGGATCTCCAGATATTTAGGATTTTCAAAACATCACACATTTTGAAATGAACATGATCCCCGTGCCTTCTAAAAGCTAACCTTTCTGTACTGAAGGAGGGAAAGGAAGAAGTTGGTGATACAGAAATTGTTTATTAGGTTGATGGTACATGGACTCAATGCCTGTTGTTAGGCCACTTTGCAGGACGACTTCCTGGTGCAGGGAGGAAGGACAGGGGAGAGCAAGTGAATGAGTGGTGCAGGGACACAGTATGTGAGAGAGAAGCCCATGGGGGAGTAGATGGTGTTCTTCTGGCCCATTAACTCCTTCACCTTCATTCCCTTGGTTGCATCGCTGAATCTGGCACTTCACCCTGTTGCTGCCCTAGTTTATAGGTGGTAGTTATACAAGATCAAGGCAAGAAGTTCCAGAACAGACCTGGACACGATCCAAAAGGAGAGATCAAGGCAGAGGCCTTCTCATGGGTACTACTATTAAAAGCTCCCCAAAGAGTGAAAAGTCCCAAATACCTGAGCCTGTGCTCCCAGGCCTCACAGAATTTCATCTAGCCTGTAGCAGAGAGAGTCAGTGCCCTACAAATGCCCCTGTGCTTGTTCACAGTTCCTGGCTTCCCTCTGCAGTTAACAGTACCCAGAGGACTAAAGGTTCACCAACGAAAGGTGAGCAGAAATGATCTGTGTCACCACCAGGCCAAAGCCCTTCATGAGAGCCAGTCTGCCTCTTCCAAGTCTTTCTTCTCCTGTGGGGCACACTGGAAGTCACACATTTCAGATGTCTTAGCTCCAAGATGATGCTGGGCCACCCAACCTGTATCAGACTTAGAATGGGTTTGAAATAAACCTTCATTGTGTTGCATTCCTGACGTTTTGATTTCTTTGTTACGGTAGCAGAACTTAGTCTATCCTGGGTGCCTGGGTGGCCTCGGTCTGTTAAACATCTGACTCTTGATTTTGCCTCAGGTCATGACCTCAGGGTAGTGCGATTGAGCCCCACGTTGGGCTCCATGTTCAGTGGGGAGCCTGCTTAAGGCCCTCTCTCTCCCTCTGCCCTCCTCTCTCCCTCTCTCTTAAATAATAAATAAATCTTTAAAAAAAGGAACTTATTCCATCCTGACATACTTGACAGCAAGGAATCTCTCCAATGCTCTATTTTATAAGAGAAAACTACTCTCCTCATAGATACAAATACTCGGTAAATAGGAGACAGAATAAAGAACATTGGGTGGGAATCAGGAGAGCTTGTCATGGTTTGGATTTGGCCATTACTGACAGTCAGCCTCTGAGTGGGGTGTTTGACTTTTGTAGACCTCAGGTCCTCAACCAGGTTTTTAAGTCTCTCTGTTTTGCTTTTTAAACCACATGTCATACTGTATTGTATACTTGAAAGTTGCTAAGAGACCAAATCTTAAATGTTCTCACCACACACAAAAAAGGTAACTATTGGGGTGATGGATGGGCTGGCTGACTTTATGTGGTAACCATTTCACTATATATACATGTACAAAATCATCCAGTTGTACACCTTAAACTTACACAATGTTGTATGTCAGTTATATCTCAATAAAGCTGAAACCAAAACAAAACATATGTTAACATTTTTTTCAAGGAAATTCTTTCATGAAGTGTAAAGGAAAAACTGCCTCTCTCTTTAGACCATGACCAGAATATTTGCTCCCACAGGGGCTCCTGGGCCATGTTTCTGGTGCAGATCCACAGGCACAGAGTTTGAACCATGGGCCCAGACTGCCTCCATGGCTCATTCTGAAGCTGACATGGATTCCCAGACACAGCAGCTGTTGCTCACCTGTCCCGCACGTTACACTGCACTCTGTCCAGCGGCCATACTGCCAGAAGTACACCAGTTTGTTCACGTCATTGTCAAGGCCATCTTTCCGGATTGTGTACTCATACTTGATGCCAGGGTTGGTCACTTGGAACAGAAGCTAAAAGGCAAAAGAAGGGTGACATCACTGTCATGACTTTATACTGTAAAACACAGCTGTGTGACAACACTACATGCCAATAAATGAATGTATCTCCACCCCCACCTCTACTTCCACCAATACATCTATCTATATCTGTATCTATATCCATCCATGTCTTTATCTATCTATACCTCATATCCATTCAATTATTTCTTGGCTGAATGCCCAGGGAGGTCTAATCTTCTGGAAACTGCTCTGAGGGAATGAGATAGCTCTTTTCCAACAACAGACTAGTGGGTCACCTTGCACCCTTGTGAACTTACTAACTTGATGATTACTGGTAAGTTACTTAATCTCTTTGTGTTTCTCCATTTCCAGAGTGAGGATAATAATAGTGTGTGACTAGTAGGGGTGCTGTGAGAGTTAAATAAGTCAATAAATGTACAGTGATTAGCTATGAATAGAATAGTGACTGGCATGTAGTCAGCATTCAATAAAGAGTAACTTTTATTATTGTTGTTGCTGTTGTCTTATGATGCTCTTCTCTAGCTCTCAGGATGGTTAGTTCCTATAAAATATATAGTTCTGGGGTAAAAATGTTCATAGGCTTTAGCCAAGTCATGCCAGTCTTGGGACCTTCCCCTCACTTCCCTCTCCTGCAGGCAGTCTACTTATCACACATTTTTTAAAAAATATTTTATTTATTTACTTATATTAGAGAGAGAGCGAGAGAGAGAGTGTGTGTGAGAGAGAGAGCACTTGAGTGGGGCAAGGAGCAAAGGGAGAGGGAAGGAATCCAAAGCAGACTCCATGCTGAGTGCAGAGCCCACTCATGACCCTGAGATCACAACCTGAGCAGAAACCAAGAGGCAGACACTCAGTTGACTGAGTCACCCAGGCGCCCCTCACCACACATTTAAAAAGGATTCATCTTAAACTTAGAGCTGATGGATTGATTGGTTGCTTCTTGGGATCAGGGTTCCCATATATAAATCCTTTGCCATGTATGGCAGGTAAGATGTCAGGTCCCCAGACATTTATGAATCATAGCAGTCAAGCCTTGATCTCTGGCTTCTTTGAGTGCTCTGATCTCTGGCTCTGGAATCATCTCCCTCTAACTTCTGAGTATGGTTAGGTCAGACTCTCTCTGGAGCCATATGGCATCCCCAACCTGCCTTGTCTCTACTGGTATGATGATTCCACTCTTTCTCTCTGGTTCCTTGCCAACATGAAAGACCATGCCCTTAAGGTGCACATACAACATTCTAACCCTGTTCTCCTCCAAGAGCTTCACAAAGTCAAGCCTCTTGCCTAAGAACAACCACATGATAACATGAGAAAACTGTGTTGGTCCATCGCTGCTGCTGGAAAGCTACCTGGAAACTCAGCCCAGATGGAGAGCATCCTTTTTATGCCTGAGAAAAAATCACTCTGAAATAAACAGCCTATGTCAACCATACCGGAAATTGAATTCAAAATTCCCAATAAATGACTTTAGGGCCCCTGGCACTTATCAGGGTTTCAGCAATTTCTAGGCAATAAAGGATGATTCGCACAAAATAATATCTTGCTTTCCTCCCTGCTCCTTGTTAAACAAAGTTTTAAGCGTTCGTAGTCTCCCCTAGCAAATACCCTGGAAATGAAAATCAGAAAGATCTTCACTAATACACATATCAGCAGCTACCTTTACTTCTGCATTACCTGGATCCACACCGACTCATTGGTGGGGCCTGTGGCCATCAGTTTCTCTAGGTCCCCTTTCCTGTCGTATTGGAAGATGGTCCCTGCCAGCTTGTAGTTCCCGTTCCACTGGATAATAAAACCTCCATTGAGGTAATACTTTTTGGGATCTTCACTCCTGATGGCCAAAAAGTTTCCAGCTCCCTCAACCTCCATTACCCGTATGTCCCTCGCTCCTTTTGGAATCAGTCCAATGTCAACATAACCTAAGGAGAGAAGACACAATGATGAAAGAGGCACACCTGCTTGGCTGCACACACTCTGTTTCTGACTCATTATTCATTCCCACTGTTTAGTGCCCTTATCTTCCCCCTGGGTGGTTACTGGGATTAGCAGATACACTAGTCATGGGGAATTTTATTTATTTATTTATTTATTTATTTATTTATTTATTTATTTATTTTTAAAGATTCCGTTTATTTGAGAGAGAGAGAGAGAGAGAGAGAACAAGCAGTGTGAGGGGCAGGCAGAAGGAGAGGGAAAAGCAGGCTCCTCGTGGAGCAGGAAGCCGGGTATGGGGCTCCAACGCAGGACCCTGGGATCATGACCTGAGTCAAAGGCAGATGCTTAATGGACTGAGCCACCTAGGTGTCAGTCATGGGAATTTTATTTATTTTATTTTTTTTTATTGGAGTTCGATTTCCCAGCATATAGTATAACACCCAGTGCTCAACCCATCAAGTGCCCCCCTCAGTGCCCATCACCCAGTTATCCCAACCCTCCACCCACCTCCCTTTCCACCACCCCTTGTTCATTTCTCAGAGTTAGGAGTCTCATGTTCTGTAACCCTCTCTGATATTTCCCACTCATTTTCTCTCCTTTCCCCTATAATCCCTTTCACTATTTTTTTATATTTAGTCATGGGGAATTTTAAAGAGCTTGGGCAGGAGCAGAATTCCCAGGTGCTCTGTGACTCAGTACAGACACAGTTTTGTGAGAAGAGGTGAAATAAATGCAGATTAAACTCTGAAACATTTGTGGTTGATCCAGCATTGACTTTTCTGTGATTTTAAATTGAAGTTAAAAAACGTATAGCCCCTAATTAGCTCCCCATTAGCATTTCCGCTCCCCCATTTGTCGTGGCTATCAGATGAATCTTCAACATTGCACTGGATACACCCTTCTGCTCAGCTGTCCTCACTGCCTGCAAGTTAAAGATAGACCCTTAGAAATAATCTAATCATAGCTTAAATTCATTAAGAGAATTCCTGAGAGAATCTTGGATTGATTTGCCACCTGGTCCTCTTGAATATAGCTCATGATGAGAAACTTAGCTCTGAGCACAGCTTTTTATGTTGCTGGGCAATTCTATTCACTAGACAGGTTTTTTTTTCTCTTATTTTTCTATGTTTTGATGAAATATGAACTTACATTTTATTTTTGTGAAAAAGCACCAGAGGGCATCCATTTAAAGATGATGATCAATTCTAGCTATAGGCCTATTCTTATTTATTGGTTGTCATGGTAGGAGACATACTGGGGAGAAAAGGAATTAACACATAATGGTTTCTTCCCTTTGGCAGGCTCCACACTAAGCATTTTATGCATTTATCCTATTTGGGCTTCTTAAGAATCATCACCTTATAAATGTGATACACTGGAAAGAACATGGACTTTGGGGATGGCATGAGAAAATGCCAGACATGGGAGTCAGAACACTTGAATCTTAGTTTTTGCATCACCTTGAATGAGCTATATGGTGTTCACTGACTTATTTAACTTCTTTAAATGTCATCTGCACAATGAAGGGGCTCCAACCAGATGATGTCTGACAGCCCTCACAACTCCGATATTCAATTATTTTCCTCTTTTCTAAGCAAAATATTCTGTTCTTTTAACCTTTCTATATAAATGTTGGTTTTAAGATCCTGATCATCCTGGTCATTTTGCAGCGGATGGACACTAGGTTTTTCAGCCACAAGCAAACCTTCATCTCTGTGACCTGGGAGGGCCTTGACTGTTTTCTCTCCCTCAGACGTGAGAGTAGCAGGGGTCCTGGGAGCTAAAATCCTAGGGCTGGTCAGCAGGTATGATTTGCTCAGATCCTCAGGCTACAACCTTAGCTCCATTTTTCAAACTGGCATCTCCCATACAGCAAGACCAAAATGCAGGTCTTGTAGTACTTGATTAAATTCCATTTGGCTCTCACAATACTTACCTGAAATAGTTGATTAAAACTACAAAAAATTTTTAAAGATTTTATTATTTATTTATTTATTTATTTATTTATTTATTTATTTGAGAGAGAGCGAGAGAGAGTGAGAGAATGTGATCAGGGAGGGGCAGAGGGAGAGGGAGAGAGACACTCTGAAGAAGGATCTGTCTGAACATGGAGCCAGACACAGGGCTCAAGCTCACAACCGTGAGATCATGACCTGAATTGAAATCAAGAGTCAGACACTCAACTGTGCCACCCAGGTGCCCTAACACTGTAGATTCATAACTAGCTCAGGGAAAATATTTATCATGTGTAATTGAGGCTAATGCAATTTATTGAAATGCCTTTGGAGCATCTTGATCTGTAGCCCCTTCTGACTTGGGATGTCATATGACTTCTCAGACCAGAACTCATGCAGAAAAATCAATTGGCATCAAATATTATGGTGACCACCTTATCTCCCTTGTTTACAAAGAATAAAACAACCCCTCCCTCAAAAAAACAAAAGCAAAGAGAACTATATGGAAAAAAAAAAACAAAAACAGAGAGTGTGCTTTTTATCTTTCACTTAAGAGAGAAAATCCAAAATCAGAAATATTTAACGCAGTGGACTCTGCTAAATTCAAAGGGGAGATACATTAAATTTAAAATAAAAGCTTTCAGTGAATATTAAGTGCTGCTTCTGAACAGTTTACAGACAGAAGATATAAATTGAGACAGATTTAGCAATGAGCAAAAGTAATGCACATTTGTAACACATATTTGCAAAAGAGTATCTAGGGAAAAGCCAAAATATAAAATTACGGTAATTTTGAGTTAAAAGAACCACAATATACCCACCAGACTCCTTTGTGTGTGACAAAAAAGCCCATACTTGAGAATAAAATGAAAAGTAAAAATTTCAATTTTCCTTCATCTCCAGTCCCATGTCCCAAAGACAATTACAGTGAACAGTTTATTGGAGTCTTTTTCAAAATCTTTGTTTGCATGTATAAGCACATATACACATAATTTTTTAACAAGTGGGATCATGGTACATGAACTATTCCAACTATCACTTTTTATTTTCATTTTTTATTTTTTCCAACTATCACTTTTAAAATTTAATATACTTTACATATCTTTTTGTATTTTTGAGCATTTCAACAACTGCAAAAATGACAGAAACCCATTTACTTAACCCATCTGCTATTAATGGGCATTTAATTGGAAATGAATGGCTACAAACCTTTCTGTTTACCAAATGAGAAAACTGGGTTCCATCTATGCCACCATCACACATCTAGGTGGGAAGTACATATGCCTATAACTAGGGTTTGCTAATCAACTCTTAAAATAGCATTTTTAATTAAAAAAAATGTGATTGGTAGAAAGGGCTTTAAAAAATCCTCCAGAGTATCTTATCCTCAAGGGTCTTCTTTATAGAAAGGAGAATCTTATTAAAAAGTAAGGGTAGAGGGATGCCTGGGTGGCTCAGTGGTGGAGTGTCTGCCTTCGGCTCAGGCCGTGATCCTGGGGTCCTGGGATCGAATCCCACATCAAGCTCCCCGCAGGGAGCCTGTTGCTCCCTCTGCCTCTGTCTCTGCCTCTCTCTGTGTCTCTCATGAATATTTTTTTTTTTAAAGGAAGGGTGGAAAGTTATTGAGACATTTATTCTGTATCAAAGGAAGGCTACCGGGATTGGTAAGACCATGTCTAAAGTGTTAAGAATGGTGAATTTTGCATTCAGAAAATCACTTCTCTCCCAGTTCCCTGGTAGACGTCAGTCATTTGCACCAGTAGTGGGGCAATACTGGGAAAATTAGGGGGGAAGTAGCAAAATGTAATGTTGACCTCAAAGAAGGAGTCTCTGGGCCCATGGAGCCTCACCTGGAGAAACCTCCCATTACTGAGTCCTGAGCCCCTTGAGGTAAAAGAATACTCAGGGCCTCTGAGGATGGAGCAGAAAACTGGCCTCATTTCTGAAGCCATTATCATAAGAGCTACAATAGGTTATTGCTGCTAAAGTGCATCTTATCCAACTACTCTTTGTAATTCACAAAAAGGATTTACCCAGTAGCATATTTGGTTTCCAATCTGTCACTTCTAATAAAAATGTGCTCCTAAAGAGGTCATACTATTAACCCCAATTTATCTACAACGACCAGCTCATCTTTAAAAAGATTTATGCTGTCAGTTTGCAGCAGACAAAACAATCCTCACTGCAGGCCCAAATCTGTTGGTTTCACGTGAAGAGGCTCCTGGGAAATGCCAGTCCACTTCTTGATGCCTGCCTTGACAGTAAATGACACGTCAATGTCAAGTTCAGGTAAAACCCTGCATTTGACCCGCTCCCAAATCAGAGTGAGGAGGAAATACGTACACACAAGTGTGCTTGGCAGATCTTTGGGGAAGTCAAATTGCTCTATCCTAGATTGACTTTTAGCTTTAATTATTTCAAAAAATGTGTTGTAGGGGCACTGGAACCTTGGAACACACCATAGGCAACTACAAACATTTTGCTAGAAGTCAGTGGAAAGGAAACATAGAAGAGAGAACAGATGTTGACCCTAAATGCTTCTGGGACAAAGGGTGGCAGCCCTGAGCTCCCTTGATATGAAAACTGTCAAGCAGAGTGTTCAGTCATTCTTTTTCTTTCCATTCCTTCCAGCCTGGGATTTTCTAGAAAACATGATCTAGGACAGTCTCCAAGTAAGGTGATACTCTGGTTTCAAGGAAGTCACATTCCTTCTTTTTATTATGCATTTACTTCTGCCTTGGATTTTCTCTGAAATGTTTTCTTATAAGATTCTCATCCTGGGGCACCTGGGTGGCTCAGTGGTTGAGTGTCTGCCCTTGGCTCAGGTCGTGATCCCGGGGTCCTGGTATCGAGGCCTGCATCAGGCTCTCCAGAGGGAGCCTGCTTCTCCCTCTGCCTGTGTCTCTGCCTCTCTCTCTGTGTCTCTCATGAATAAATAAATAAAATATTTTTTTAAAAATTCTCATCCTATCTATGTGGACTCAGTTCCTGTCACCAGGCTCCCCTGTCCCAGGCAGTTGTGTATGTTG